CTACATATGCAAATTAACCGCCATCTTGTTGGCAGTTAACTGCCAATCTTAGTTGGCAGTTAATTTGCATATAGCCCTGATTAGCCAATGAAAAGGGTATTGGTCGTACGCCAGTTACCATTTTTGTCTTTTATTAGATAGGATATATATATATAGTTTATAAAAAATGACATACAGTAAATATCAGACCCTGCTATCCTGAATCTCCTCTCATCTTACCAGGGTGACCAGTGTAGGTCATGGCACTATAATAACCTGGTTTTTATGATACTATGACTAGTCATTCATTCTCTGGCCCCATTGTTAACATTTGTAAATAAGGAATCCTAGTACTTGCCTGTTTCACAAGGTGTTCTGAGATGGAAATTCAATATCGTACATTTTAACTTGGAAAATCATCTGGAAAGTAATTTGTCCTTGTTTATGATACAAACATATCAAGTGTTTAAAGTTTATAATTAGGTATTTCCTAAAAGATACTTTATATATCAGGCTGATATTTTCCCCTCTGAGTAAATGACACTTGCCTCAATTGTTCCATAGCAACTTTTTTTTGAGGTTAGGGTTATCAGTTCTTGATTTCTGTGTTGGAGAAATTTTCTCTTGTTGCTTGTGCTTTTAATTCACTAAGAGAGCATTCCTAATACAAAGTTAAAAGATTTACTTTTGTCTTTTCTTGAAGGGTTTATACTTGTCGAGATTTGTGACCCATTTTGAGTTATTTTTGTTTATGGTAGCTAGCTACATTTTTTTGCATCTGACTTATCCAGTTGCCCTAGCACCATTTATTAAAAATACTACTCTTTCCTCACTAAGTTGTCTTGGCATTCTTATTAACATTAATTGATAATAAATGTGAGGGTTTATTTCTGGGCTCTCAGTTCTGTTCCATTGATATATATGTTTATTCTGTTAGTACCTCACTCTTTCTCTTTTTTTAATCCTCACCTGAGGATATGTTTGTACTAATTGTTAGAGAGAGAAAGAAACATTGAACGGTTGTGTGCCATAGGCACACTACTGAGGATCAAACCCATGACCCTTCAGTGTGCAGACGATGTTCCAATCAACTGAGCCACACCAACCAGGGCCTCACTGTCTTGGTTACTTACTCTGTTGCTTTGTAGTAAGTTTTGAAATCAGGAAGTGTGAGTGCTCCAATTTTGTATTTCTTAAGATTTCCATATCAATTTTAGGGTCAAGTTGTTCATTTCTGTGCCTTCCCTCTCCCTCTCTCCCCCAAAACTTGCTGGGATTATGATAGATACTGTGTTTTTGTGTAGATCAGTTTGAGGAGTATTGCCATGTTAGTAGTATTAAGTCTTAGCAAGCCATGAACATGGGATTTCTTTCCATTTATTATTAGATTTTCTATATCTTTCAGAAATGTTTTATAGTCTTCAGTTTGTACTTTTTGTATTAAATTTATTCCTAAGTATTTTTATTGTTTGTGATGCTATTATAAGTGTATTTTCTTAATTTCATTTTTGAATTGTTCAGTGCTAGTTATATAGAAAGACAATTTATTTAATTTTATATCTTCCAACTTTCCTGAACTCATGTATTAATTCTGATCATTTGGGTGTGTTCCGTAGGATTTTCTGTATGACAGATATCACTTGCAAGTAGCCATGATTTTAATTGTTTTCTAATATAGCTGCATTATTTATTTGTTTTGTGTGACTAATTGCTCTATCTAGAGCCTCCTGTGCGTTGTGGAAGAGAAGTGACGAGACCCAACATTGCTTGTCTTAATCTGCATCTTTAGGGAAAACATTTCAGTTTTTCATTATTAAGTATGATGTTAGCTATGGGTTATATTAAATTCCTTTTATTGGTTGAAGAAGTTTTCTTCTACTCCTAGTTTGTTGTGTATTTTTATCACAAAATGGTGTTGGATTCTGCCAAATGCTTTTTGTGTGTTTATTAAGATCATCGTGTAATGTTGTTCCTTTTCCTGTTAATATGCTTTATTATGTTGGTTGATTTTTGTATGTTGGAGCAACCTTGTATTTCTGGGATAAATCCCACTCAGTTATGGTGTACAACCCTTTTTTATGTTGCTGGATTTGGTCTGCTAGTACTTTGTTGAGGATTTCTGGATCTACATACAAAATATCGTTCTGTAGTTTTCTTGTGTCTATGTCTGGTTTTGGTATCAGTGTAATAAAATGAATTTGGGAAATGTTCCCTTATCATCTCTTTAGAAGAGTTTATGAAAAATTGGTGTTAATTTTTCTTTAAATGGTTGGTAGAATTCACTAGTAAAGTAATCTGGGCCCAGCTTTTCTTTTTGGGAAATTACTCACTAAATCTCTTTACTTGTTACAGGCCTGTTTGGATTTCCTGTTTCTTCTTGAGCCAATTTTGGTGGTTGTGTTTTTGTTGTTGTTTTTTCTGTTGTCTTTCTAGGAATTGTCTATTTTAATCTGTTATCTAATTTGTTCATAATATTTCCTTATTAATAGTTTTTTCTATAAAAAATAGAAATGTTTTCACATTTTTGATTTTAGTAATTTTAATCCTCAGATTTCTTTTTTTTCCCTGTCAGCTAAAGTTTTGTCAGTATTGTTGATCTAAAGAAAAAACACACACTAACTTTTGGATTTGTTAAGTCTCTCTGTTGTTTTGTAAGTTTCCATTTTATTTATTTTCTCAGTGATCTTTATTATTTCTCTGCTTGCTTTGAAATTAATTTCTTCCTTTTTTAAATATTTTTTTATTTCACAGAGAGGAAAGGAGAGTTAAAAAGTATTTTCCAGTTTCCTTTGTGATTTCTTCTTTGATCCATTGGTTATTTGGGATTTGTTTTAATTTCTACATGTTTATGAATTTTTCAAATTTCCTTCCATTATTGCCGAAACCGGTTTGGCTCAGTGGATAGAGCGTCGGCCTGTGGACTGAAAGGTCCCAGGTTCGATTCCGGTCAAGGGCATGTACCTGGGTTGCGGGCACATCCCCAGTAGGGGATGTGCGGGAGGCAGCTAATCGATGTCTCTCTCTCATCGATGTTTCTGACTCACTCTCTCTCTCTCTCCCTTCCTCTCTGTAAAAAATCAATAAAATATATTAAAAAAATAAATAAATAAAAAATAAATAAAAAAATTTCCTTCCATTATTGATTTCTAAGTTTATTCCATCGTGGTCAGAGCACATTTTGTATGATTTTAATCCTTTAAAATTCACTGAGGTTTCTTTTATGACCTAACATGGTCTTTGTGGAGAATGTTCATGTGTACTTGAGAAACACGTGTAATCTTCTAGTGTTAAATGTTCTGTAAGTGCCCATTAGGTCTAGTTGGTTTATTGTGTTGGTAAGTCCTCGGTTTGCTTTTTGATCCTCTTTTTAGTTGGTGCATCCATTATTGAACGTGGGGATATTGAAGTCTCCAACTATTGTTGAATTGTTTCTCTGTCCCTTCAATTCCGTCAGTTTTTGTTTCATGAATTTTGGAACTTGCTTATATATGTGTATAATGAAGTATTTCTGATGTTTTATCATACTAAAATGTCCTTTGTTATTAGTAGCAATTTTTATCTTAAAGTCTATTTTGTCTAATATTAACTGTTTGACTGCTAAGGAGCGCTATCGCGCTCTTCTTATTTAAAACAAATTTATGTAAACAATTGGTATTTTTTAATTTTTGTTGTTGCAAAGCAATACAAGTGAGTTTATTGTATAAAAAGTGTTTTACATTTTTTCCCATACACGCGCAATTAGTGCCGCAGTTTTGGCATATGTCCGAAAAAATACATCAGCAGCCAAACGGTTAATATAGCCACTTCAGCTCCATTTTTGTAACTGTGCATTGTATATGTCTTTTTTCATCCTTTTCCTTTCAGTATATTTGTGTCTTTGAATCTAAAGTGTATATCTTATAGAAGCTTATAGTTGGATTGTTGCCCTCTCTACTTTTTATTTCAGCTAGCCCATCTTTAATCTGAATAAGATCTAGGTAACAAAATCATTTAAAGTTCTTCTCCTTCCACAGATGAATATTCATGCTGAACTGGGACTTGTGCCCAGTTTTTTAAGGTCATTTCTTGATTGAGGCAGTTTAGAAGAAGGTTCTTAACATTGGCTGACAAACTTATAGTATCTAGTGAATGAGATCATTGACCTTAGTTTTTCAAGGCTGTTAAAGCAGTGATTACTGAGTTACAAGTGATTTCTAATAGATTAGGAAAACGAAAGTGGCTTGTGTCACCACTTATAATGATCTAAAAATTAAGCAGATAAGAATAGAACACCATATGTCTTTATCTCAGAAATATTATGTAATATTACTAATAATTGATCACCCATTTTTCTAGTATGGAGTGTTTCATAAGGCAAGGAGATTGAGAATGATATTTGACCCTAGTGAAGGATATGACTTTACAAATAATTAGGTGAAGTACTTAAACTTATTTCCATTTGTTCTCATCCACATCTTTACCCCTCAAATCCTAAAAGCCATTTAATTTACAAATTTCTTATGTTTAAATCGCCATAGTTAAGCAGCTAATTTCTAGTGTTAACGCCAGTAGTTGTTAGTAAAGTATCTGTTAGTCGAATAGCTTTAACTAGGAACAAATAATTTTGTAGGTGGTTGTTAAAGGAAAGGGTGTAAGTTCCATTTGATCCGTTGGGCTGGATAGGGATGGATTCATGTAGAATTCTCAAGAGCTTTTATGTCTTTTACAGTAGTGCTGTGCTGGAATGATATGTTTTCTTTCTTTTCTTCCAGTTAAAGGCATTAGGATTTCCTGAAGGACTTGTGATACAAGCATACTTTGCTTGTGAGAAGAATGAGAACTTGGCTGCCAATTTTCTTCTACAGCAAAACTTTGATGAAGATTGAAAGGGACTTTTTTTTTTTTATTTCACACTTCACACCAGTGCATTACACTAACTTTGTTCACTGGATTGTCTGGGATGACTTGGGCTCATATCCACAATACCTGTATAAGGTAGTAGATTGTTGGGGGTGGGAGGGAGGGATCTAGGATAAATACAATGCATGTCTGCTTCAATTAGCAGATGCTGCAGATCCACACAGTGTGTAAAATAGACAACCAAAAAGCAGCTTTTGCAGGTCTCTATCTCTTGTATAAAAAAGTAGGTAACTTCCTAGGTTTCACTCTTTTTAGTGTACTAGATCCAGAAATTTAGTGTAATGCCCTGCTTTATATTTCTTTGACTTAACATTGGTTTCATAAAGAATCTTTGCTACCTAGAATCTACAGTCTCTATTTCATGGCAACACTGGATAATGGCTTTATGAAATTGAATCAAATTTGGAACAACTGCGAAGAGATGCCAAATAATTGATGGTTATTGTTGCTGCTCCAAATAAGTATAAAATTAATGTCAAGAAAGCCCATTCTTTCATGTTAAATACTTGGGTTGGGGTGGAGAAGAAGGGGAACCTTTTCTTAAAGTGAAAATACTGCTATTTTAAAATCTCTTGATCAATGAATGTGAGACCCTTCTGACATGATTTGAGAAGCTGTACAAGTATAGGCAGACTTATTTCCTGTTTACATTTTTTTGGTTTGTTTGGGGGGAAATTGGTAGGTGTCTAATTACTGTTTACTTCCTTGTTATATTGCAGTAAAAGTTTTAAAACCACCATTGCATGTTTGCTTTTGATGTGTCCCTTTGTGGAATTAGCACTTTGGGACCAATGGAGAAATGCAGCGCTCACTCTCCTTTGTCCCTTCCCTCAGCAGAACCATGCTTGTCACCAAGTTGTGAGTTCAAACTGCTGCCTTTCTTAAACCCACAAAGGCTGATTCAGTTCAAAATTAATGCAAATGTTTTAAATCTGGGTTTCTGATATTTGTAAGTGTTTTTCCTTATTAGAAAAGAATGTATGGCTGTTAAATTGCTTTCAAAAAGAAGGTGGACAGAACTATAATCCAGCATCTTTTATTTGAAAGACTGAGGAAATCTTTTGGAAGGGTTGGGAGTTGAGGCTGGAAAAGTACTTTGGAAAATATACAATCAAGATATCTCGTAGCACATTAAAGGAAAACTCTTAATAGCAATGTTGGCTTTTATTTGGATTTTTTCATCTCAGTTTTTCTTTGGAATCTTCTTCATTGGCATTGTTATTTAATCATAAAGAGGGGGCAGATGTCTACTTGTTCAGTTTTCCAAATTTATTTTCCTGACTATAAACAAGACTTGAAAGAAATTCTTTTTCCGCCATCTGATATTGAGTTAAGAAGATGAATTTGCACAGATTTCTCCCTGCGTAATCTCTTGCAATAATCCTTAGCATCGTTTGGTGATGACTTTTAAGCTTTGACATCACGCACTCATAACCTATCTCATTTGAAAGTAAATGAAATCATGGTTTCTCCCCATAATGTTAAATCATGTGACTTAATCTTCATGTGTTTATTCCGTAAACTCAACAGGCCTTTGGACTTTGTATTACCTGTATGTTTTATACTGAATCTGCAAAATATCTCAGGAGAATAAAATGAGAATTTGTAAATATGTTCCTCTTTCAAGGCAGAGGAGTTGGGAAGAGGGGTGGCATTTCTGGTCGGATCATGGAATACTTTATTTTATGACATTTTATCTGCTACCTGATTGCTCACAGATAGCGAAACTGGAAAAAAGGATTAAAAAACAACAGCAACCTCTTCCTTACTCTGGAAAGTGACCGCAGAAGTTGGTGGCATGGAGCTTTTGTCCTTGGACAACAAAACTACAAATAGTGGGATTAATGATTACCGGAGAACAGTTCAGGCCGTTTTGACCATTCCTTGTTTATCTGCTTAAAGAACCAGACAAAACACTATGAAAGAAATAGGCTTTTTGTGACCTTTTGTTGTCTTTTAATTTGCAAACAGTTTTGGTAAATCTCTTAATGTAAGTGACCTATTTGACTTTGGAATTTCGCATTTGAGGTATGTCATCTATTCCTTGAAATGTTTTTATTGTTTAGTTGCTCTGTGGAAAATGTGAGGAAGCTTACGTTTATATTTGTTAAAATCTACTGCCATCCCCAAGTCAGACATGTCTTTACATTGTTTAAAAAATACTGAAGTGTTCCATCGAATAATTTTTTTCCTGTACTAGAAGGCTAGAATTCTAGACAATTATAAAATATTTTCAATACATCCAATATTGCATTTCTCATTTTTTAAATGATTTTGCCATAAAATCTAAGATTGAAAGTTACCAATGCCTCTGTCACCAATCCTGTTTTTTCCAGTGAATGGTGAAGGCAGCATGTAGAAGGCCAGGCACTAGATCGGTCTTATTGGGTCCCCTGTTTGTTTTCTCAACTAAAGCATCAGTATAGAAATGGGATACCTAATGGAGTGTCAATCAAATTTCATAAGGACTTTAAGAGATTTCATTATCCCCATTTCCCCTATACTTCATGTCTTAAAGCAGTCAGCCTAAGGCTGCTACAAAATATTCAACCAAATGCCAGCAGCTTCAGGGAGTAAGGGCTTCCTCACCAAGTCTTCACTTTGGTGAGTTCTCCACCACAAGGCTCATTTGTCTCCAGTTGACCTCCCCTGTCCATTTTGTTTCACTTAGTTCTGAGCCATGGGCTGGCAAACTACAGCCCATGAGCCAAACCTGGCTCATGGCTCACTGCCTGTTGAATGTTCCGTACACTAAGAATGATCTGTCTTTACATTTTTAAATGGCTTAAAATTTCTTTGATACAAAAATTATTCAAATTTCAGTGTCCATAAATAGTTTTTTAAAAAATATATTTTATTGATTTTTTACAGAGAGGAAGGGAGAGGGATAGAGAGCTAGAAACATCGATCAGCTGCCTCCTGCACACCCCCCACCGGGGACGTGCCCGTAATCAAGGTACATGCCCTTGACCGGAATTGAACCTGGGATTCTTCAGTCCACAGGCCGACGCTCTAGCCACTGAGCCAAACTGGTCAGGGCCATAAATACTTTGATTGAAACACGACCATGCTCATTTGTATATATTATCTATAGCTACTTTTCTGCTATGGAGGTTTGATATTGAATGGTTGGCAACAGAGGCTAAGGCCTGCAGAACCTAAAAAAACTATTCCCTAGCTCTTTACAGAAAAAGCTTGCCATCCCTGTTCTAAACTGCAGCTAGCCCATCATATGTTAAATTATGTGACGCTTTTTGATCCTTTTGGGGCATTCTTGGCCTCTTGACTTCCGGTCTTGGCTTCAGTTTGATTTGTAGGTTACTGTCATAGGTTCTTTCCAGAGGAGTGGTATCACCCCACATCTGCACTGACAAAGGAAGGAACATTGTGTGCCTGGTGTGCTGGCCTAGCATGTATGTGGTGTCTTGAAATTATTATTGCTGTTACTACACTTTGTTGCTCTTACCGGAAGATAATGAAATTCAGACTGTAAAAGCACCTGGCAGAGTGATGAATCAATCAGAACACAGAAAGCCAGCTGAGCCTTTGGGCCTTGGATCAGAGTTGGGGCAGTTTGAACAGCTGGAAAAAGAGTGGGTGGAGCACTAGAGGAATAAGTGGAGCAGTTGGACCTGTTTGGGTGGCAGACTAGTTTCCAGAACTGTGTAGGTAGTGGGGAAGGGCAGGGACGGAAGGCTTGGACTGCTAGGAAAAAGATGCAGCACTGCAATGTTTTGGAAACCACAGGGACTGCAGTGGTGATACTAGGTTGTAAAAGGCCTTCCCTGTCACGAGGTTAGATTTGGAAAACTGTGGTCCTCACGTAGGGCTTTCACTGTGGAGAGGACACTGGGGCACCAAAGAAATAAGTGATGACAAACTTGCTTATGTGTCCTGCTGCAGATTCCAAAATGAATGGGAACATGGTCTCTGCTAGGGAGCTTGAAAATACCATTAAATAGCAATGGACCCTTTAATAGAAACCGTGTAACTTGTCTTTTACTAGTACAAATGAGAAAAATAGTCTCCTAGACTCCAGCCTCATGTCTCACACAGTTTTCTGTTCTTGTTGATCTATGTCCTTGTCACCTACTCTTTCCATCTGACTCGGGATGAATTGGATAACAGTCCTCTCCAGTTCATGAGATGGTCTTCGGGGCACCTGAGGAACCTGGCCTCAACCCTAGCCCCAACCAGCATTATATTCCCCCCCACCCCCCACCCCCAGTGTTTTGTACAAGTACTATGTTTGCTGTGATGAAAATGCTGAGAAGCCTATCCTACACATACATCTCTAGATAGGCCTCCTGCCTGTTAGTGCTTCCACACTTAAGCATGCATCTACCGTGGCTAGTTACTGCCCACATAGTAGCCACTTTAAGGCACAAAGAATGTTTGGTATGGATCCTGGGTTTGGGTTATTGATAGTTTCTACCCCTATAACAAAGTCCAAAATGATTTCAAAATGTGCTTAAAGTTTGGCTATAAATTATAGGAGCCAGTCTGGGTTTTATTTGCCTCCAATAGCAGATTAGAAGAACACTGATATGTTAATTCAAAACTGATAGGTTAAAAATTAGATGAGAATGTGTGGGGCTGGTGACACAATGCCTTAGAACAGCTTGGGGTTAGGGTTCTTGTTTTTGAGTGATTTTGTGAACCCTGAAGTGGTTTTTGCAACTTCCTTGAATTTTAGTCTACTTTATGATTTTTTTGTTGTTGTTTTGGGTTGTTTACATATTTCTTTTTGGTCAGGCCTGCTCCTGCTTGTTGATAGCATTTTGACTAATTTTTATATTATCTCCAGTTCTAAGCAAATTATCTAAAGGAAAGTTAAATATTTTAACAAATTCATTACTGCTTTAATTGTAAAATATTTATATCATTAACTTTGGTGTTACAATTTTTTTAACACTTTTGCAAAGAGCATTTAACAACTTTTTCATTCTTAATGTCAAATGTACAGAAACGTTGCTGGAACAGTACAAAGAGCTCCCATTTACCATCACCCCTGCCCCAAAACCATTTAAATTTCGCAGTTGACCCAGTAATGCCCTTCATAGCAGGAGGGTCCAATCCAGATTAACACGCTGCACTTAGTTAGTCTCCTTCAAACCGTACTCTTTCTCAGTCCCTCCGTGTTAGGACCATGATGCTTTTCTAAGATTACAAGACAGTTGTCTTATCGGATGCCCCTCGGTTTGCTTGGTGTTGCCTCGTGACTCAAGTTAGACGTGTTTGGAAGGAGTGCCGTAGAGGTGCTGCTGTGCTCTTTCACTGCATCCCGAGGGGGACAGTGCTCACTGAGTGTTGAAGGAGGTGGTGTCTGCCAAGCTTCACTGGACAGTCACTGTCCCTTTGTGTGTAATGCCTACTTTATGGGGAGAGATTCTTATACTGTAAATAACTTCTCATCGAAACTGTGCCCATCAGATTTACTGTCCACTAGTAGTTCTTGCCTGGGTTATGATGAAGATGGTTGCCAAGTGGTAATTTTCAGATTACATAATTTCCACTTCTACATTTATTAGCTCATGTTCTGTATTCTGACATCCCTCTCCCCCAATTATAATTTGCTTCTCTATGGATTCAGATTCCTCTTTTATTCATTCTTACATAATCCAATAGGACCATTTTGATGCTCGAATTTTTCCAGATTTTGCCAATGTGTGCATTCTTAAAGCCAGCTCTGTGTTTGGCGTGTTCTCCTGTCAGTTTCCAGACCAAGTTTCCAGTCTCCTTGAGTACTTCCTTGCTTTCTGGCACAACAATATATTCCAGGCTCTTGTTCTTTCTGTGCCCCATCCCTGGAAGTCGCCATTTCTTCAAGGGGCTCTGGTTCCCTTTCATAGAGATTGTGTTTAGAAACCAAACTTCATGCTACTTGTGCTCATAGAACCTAACGCACACACGTTTACGTCTGTATTTCTGTATCTATATAGTCGAAAACTTGAGTTCACATAGGCACCTTTAATTCTGATCCAACACCAGCGTGCCTGCTTGCTGCCCCTTTCCATGTTTCCAGCCCCTCTCTTGGGCAGTGAGAAACTTGGCTCCCATTGTGCTCAGTCCGTTTCCTTATTTGTCCCCTCCCCTCTGTCACTGATCTTGGGCACTCAGCTGCCTGTCCTGTTTGAGTGTGGAGTTGCTA